ACTTTCCTCTGCATTCCTGCTCCTCTCCCGGTCTTCCTGCATCTCAGGATATATGGCAAGGTCACTCTTTCATTGGCTGAGGCCAAAAAACCCCAGGGTCGGCTTTGACCTCTCCTTGGCTTTCGTGTTTGACTGGCATGTCCTCAGCAAATCCTGTTGTCTATACCTTCAAACTAGGCCCCACATCTGGCCCTCCTTGGCCACCTCCGAGGCCATACCCCGGGCCAGCCCACCTTCTCTCAACCCCATTGCCTGCCAGCAGGTCTCCCTGCTAAGCACTGTGGCATGTGAGTTCCAACGATGAACTCTCGAGGCAGACCTACCCGGAGAGGTTGTGTACGTTAGCATGAAGAGATCTTAATTGAAACCCAAACCGGGCTCCACATGGCCGTCTTCCAAAGAGGTAAATCATTATTGAAATAAAGAGGGTGTAACTGTCCATAAAGCCATGGGAGTAAATAAATCGATGGAAAAGTTTTCTGCGTTGCCAGGCTGCACTGAGGTCAGCGTAGCACTCAGCCCCTCACTGCCTGGCTCATCCCTTGTGCACGTGGAGGCCAGGGGCAGGCACCAGTGTCCCCCCGGGGAATCTCAGAAATGGTTCAGGTGTGGCTCCTCAGCAGGTAGGGGATGGTGGGAGGCTCTCCGGGTTCCCTGCTGGGCTGGGGGGGGGGGGGGGGCAGGGAGCTAAATTCACCTGTTCTCTGCTAGTGGAACAGGAAAAATGTAACCATTCGTTACTTTTCTGTTATGCACATACTAATCTTGATTTTTTTCCCCTTGGGATAGATTACAAAAGTAGAATTATTGAGTTAAAAGGTGTCTTAGAGATCTTTCCAAAGCTGGCCGTGCTCCGCCTGGTATTAGTCTGGGTTCTCCAGAGGAACCAAAGGAGAGATAGGTCATAGATGGATAGATTTATTATAAGGAATTAGCTCACATAATTACGAAGGCTGAGAAGTCTCAAGATCTCCTGAGCACGAGATTGTTGGAGAACCGATGGGGTAAATTCCAATCCAGATGCCGAAGAGAGGCAGAGAGAAAATTCTCCCTTCCTCCACCTTTTGTGCTCTTCCGGCCTCCAAAGGACGGGATGAGGCCTACGCACGCTGGGGAGGGCGATCTACCTTACCCGGTCTACTGATTCAAATGGGAATCCGGAAACCCCCTCACACACACACTCGGAATCATGTTCACTCAAATATCTGGACACTCTACGGCCTTGTCAAATTGACAGATCGGATTAACCATGACATCCCTCCCAAAAATTCTTCAGTGCCTGCCCCCCGGCCCGCTAGCTCCCGGAGCCTGCAGTATAAACCTCAGTTTCCTTGGTCGGCCCTATGGGGTCATTCACCATCTGGCCTGCCATTGCTCTCCACCCCAGACATTCTGGATTTCAGCTCCCTCCTCTTTGCCGAATCGTTGCTCTCCTAGCTTGTCCCCTTCCTTGGTGAAGGCCCACTGGTCGGTAGTGAGGGTTCTTGCTGGTGCCTCAGGTCCATGCATCTCCACTAAATCTTCCCACCTCTCTGGTCCTGCCTGGAGGCCCAGGGCGGGAAGCCAGAGGAAGACAGTGGCAGGCATCCCGCTCGGCCATGGGCAAGGCCACAGTTTTGGCCAAGAGGTACGCTGTGCGTGGGTTTCCAGGTCTTCCTATTGGATCTGTCTCCTGGTCCAGGGCCCCAGGGCTCCTCCTTGAGTCCCGGGGAGTGGAAATCAGTGAAGATGTGAGGCAGATGGACGGGAACCTCATAACATGCATGAGAGAGGGTGGCATGATGGCACAGGTGAGGCCTGCTGTCTTCTGCTGCCAGGGACGAGGCATGGCTTCACCCCACAGGGCCCATGGAGGGTAGCTGGAGGCAGCAGGTTTCTTCTGGAGTATGTATGAGACACCACAGGGCACTCCCGAATGGCGGGCCACTGCGGGGGCACAGACCCTCCACAAAAGGCAGGGGCAGGAGTAGAGGAAAGCTATGTGTCACCGCGTCTGTGTTTGCTGGAAGACCAGGAGGCCAGCTACAGTTCCCTTGTCCCCCTGGCTTCTCCACACCCTCAGGAGGGAGCTCTGGGGGCTGGTGGATTCTGGAAGGCGCAGGCGGCGTCCCTGTGAGCTGAGTGTCCAGGGGCAGTGGCTTTGCCTTCCTGAGTCTCTGTTTTGTCACTTGCCAAATGGGACGGTGACAGCCTCTACCCCATGGGGTTTGTGAGGCTGCGTGTAAAGCTCCAGGCTTGGGGCTCGGCATGGGTGACCGAGTTTCAGGGGCAAACGGGGCTTCCAGCCGAGGCACTCCCTGACTCCAGCTCTGGGCTGAGCTTTTCAGCTTCTTGCTTCCTTGGTCCCTCAATGGCTGTGTCAGCAGCTGAGAATTAGAGCCTGGGGCATTGCTTGGGGGGTGCCCCTTCCTCAAGAATCTCCTATGAGGCCTATAGTGCTGGGGGTCCTACCCTGGAGGCTGCTAGGTGGGATGACCAGGCTTCTGCAGAGGCCCGGATGTGGCTAGGTTGCTGGGATAAATCTCAGGTCATGATGGAGATGCCCTCGCTTCAGGAACTGTGGGGGGCAGGGAATGGTGGGGTACGTCTCCAGTGATACGCCATATGGGGTCAGGGGTCTCAGCAGACCCATGCATCACCCATGGGAGAATGAATTATTTCTGAAATGCCAGCTAGGCCGACAAAACCCAGTCAGGGATGTCTTCTTGTCCCCCCTCTACTCCTCCACCCACTTTTCCCTCTCTGGAGGGCTTGGAGGAAAAGCACGAAAAGAGACCACAGCCAGGACCTCTCCTTGGCCTCCTGGGCACAGTGCGACCACTGGGTGCCCTGGGGCCCCAAGGCCCCGATGTCTGCCTCATGGCTGAGCTGGGCTGTGTGTCGGGGGTCCGTGTCACCTGGGCCTGGGCCGAGCCTCCCGTACATCAGTCTTGGCACCACCTAGGCTGCTGACCCTCACCCTGGTGCAGCACCCCCCTCCAGAGCCCCCCCTGGGTCATGGAATCCAGCTGTTAGGACTGAGGCCAGGTCAGCAGAAGGACAAAGCGGCCTCTGCCGGGAAGGGCCATGCGTGCAGGGGTGTGACGGAGGAATTGCGTGGCCATCAGCAGGGCGCCATCCCTGTTGGGGCTCTGAGGCTGCACCTGGCAAAGGGACCAATCCTCACCTGGGGGGCCAACAGGCAGGAGTCCGAGAGAAGGCCCTCCTCATGGCTGCCTTGGGGCGTCGACCCAACCACTGCTCAGATTAAGTGGAGAGCAGGTTCAAGGGCCCCTGGGTGAACTTGAACACAAACACTCAGCCAGAGCGCCTTCGTGGGGGCTCATCAGGGGCTGCCTCCCCCTCACCTGTGCAGCAGGGGTTGGGGGTCAGTCCCAGACTCCCTGCCATCCTGTCTAGCCCCACTCTGCAGAGCCACTGAGGGGCTGGAGGGAGTAGGCTTGGAGACGGGGTTGGGGGTGCGTGTCAGGAGTCCCTCCCCGGAGACCGCCCTTCTGACTGGATTGACAAAGTGGGGAAAAGCATGCCAGGCAGTGGGAATAGCATGGACAAGGCCACAGAAGCCGGAAACAGAGAACGGTTTCCTCGGGGGCCCAGCAGGAGCTAGGTGTAGCCTACGGCAGGGTGGGAGCCCGAGTCTGGCTGGAGTCCAGTCCCTACTCCCCCTCTCTGGGGTCTCAGATGCAAAGAGGGTGGGCTGGTCCTGCTCAACCAGAACGTTCTCCTGCCTTCTGGAGCCTTGCCGAGGTCCTGGGTGCACTGGGCACAATTCCCCTAGTCAGAGGAGGCACCAGAAGTGTTGGCTGCTCTGTCTTTGCCTGTCCCTCATATGGGTCCCAAGTCCATGCCACCAGGACAGCCATGTCCGGCACTGAGGGGGGCCCAGGCACTGACCGGGGTGGGTCAGTGTACCCCAACATGCACACCCCCCTCTCCGCAGCAGGTCCTGACCAGGTGGGGGTGCACATCATACTCCCTGCCTTCCTGACCGGGGACCTGGTCCCTTGCTTAGGTGCGGGCTCAGCAGCTGCACTGCCCGTCCCCTTCCTGGCACAGAAACCTGACTCAGGGTGCGATGGTCTGGGGGCAGGGGGAGCCCAAGGAGAGGAGCCCCATGGAGGGCTCCTCAGCCCCACCCCACTCAACCCCAGTAAGAGAGGTGTCTGGCCACATGTAGGCCTGTGCGTGTCTGTTTCCCAGGCCCTGTCAGCCCAACTTGGGATCTATGGAGTGGAAATGGCCACCACATCCCTCTGCTGACCCGAGGCTGCAGCATCCCCAGGCCTGAGCTGGGAGACCGTCCTGCATCCCAGCAGAAGCCGATCCCAGGCCCACGAGTGAGCGGCCGTGTGGACATGGATACGCAAGGTGGACGCACGTGTTTATACCAACTCTGAATTTTACAATGTACTGTACATGTTGTCATTTTTGTGACTCAGATTTGTCCTGTGACCAGTGTCACAGCCGTCACCAGAAAGCTGTCCCCTGATACCAGCAGGATCCGGAAAGGGGGTGAATTGAGCTGCAGAGCCCATCTTGGGGGACAGGGTTGGGTCCATCAGCAGAACGACAGGGGCCACTGGCATGGTGCCTGCTGCAGATGTGGGGGCTCCCAGGCCACCTGGGGACAGACGGGGGGGTCAGCCTCCGTGGCACTCATCACCCAGGGAGAGTGACACCGCAGTCACCCACCATGCTGGGGCAGGGCCACGTCCTTGTTCTTGATGGACAGACTGGCCAGCAATGTGACCCCCACCATCCCAAAGGCAGAGCCCCCCAGGCTTGTGCTCCCCGCAGGTCAGGAGGCCCTGGGCCCTGCCCAGGGCTGAAGTTCCACGGAAGGTGGAGAAAGGTCTCCCGTGCTGTGTGGTTGTCGGGGCGGGCGCCAGCCCACAGGGTCACGGTTTACAAAGCAGTGAGGTGCCAACACCTCTGTTTTCTGCCGGGCCCGCTGCCACAGGGCTTTGGAAGGCTTCTGCTGACTTCCTCCTCTCCTCCTCCTCTTCCTCCTCCTCCTGCTTCTCACGTTTTCCCCAAAATAGAAGACCTGCAGATTTAAATATGCCCAGGGTGAGGACTGTACTTTGCCGGCTAGGCAGGAGACTCCCGCCCCAGAGGGGCTCCGTACACCCCTCTTTTGGCTCAGTCACCAGAGCCCACAACCTGGGGTCCACGCCAGCCTCCACTCGGCTACATCTGCAGGCTGAACAAGCAGGAGGGGCTGCCTCACGTTCTGCCAAAAGACAGGAGGTTCCTGGGCCTGGACACACGACCTGACACCCCCTAGGGACAGCCTCCAGCCATGGGCGTGGGGCATGTGTGGTCTGCAATCCCAGCCTCCCTCCCACTTACAGCACTTGAGTTCTGCCCCCACCCACCCCTAAGAGCCTGGCCTGACGTACCCCCCTCCCTGTGGACCTGGGGACCCACAAAGCCCCTGGGCCCTGGCCTGGCCCCAAGCACCCAACCGTCTCCTCCACACACCCCAGCCCGTCCCCACTACCGTCTTGGCTCACAGACTCACCTTAGAGATTTCCACCTCTCTTTTTCTGTTTGGTTCTCTGGGCTCTCACTTTCATAAGAGGCCAAATAAAGACCTAGTCAGGAAGTGAGGGGAAATTACACAGTTATGGTCGGTGATAAAATCCTGCTCTACACCCAAAGTCTGACCTGCTTTTGGTTCCTAAATTAAGCTAGCTGGGAGGGAATTTGTAGACTCCCATGCTGGCGTAGGAACCGATTACTACAGAGAGGTCAGTGTACCCTTCCCCTCGTTTCTCCCCACGGGAACCACTTGCAAAATTATGGCACGGGACCACTTGTGGGATGATAACGTTGTCAATCCCTGGGGATATCTGCATGGGTCTATTCTTCGGTTCTCTATTCTATCCCATCGATCCATGAACCTCCATCTCACCAATACCACATGGCCTTGAGGACGTTAGCTGTATTATATCAGCTTCACTACTGGGCAGAGCGATCCCTTCCATTTTATTCTTCCTTTTCAAAATTGTTGCAGCTTTTCTAGCACCTTTGTCTTTCCATATACATTTTAGATCAGTTGTGCCTTTATCCCCAGAAAAATCCTGTCGGGATTTTGATAAGAAACACGCCAAATCAATCCTTAAATCTGGGGAGGAGAATTAGTGTCTTTGCTATGTGAGCTTTCCCATTCGTGAACATCCGGTCTCTCCCTTTATAAATAATAATTAAAATAAATAAATAAATAAATAAATAAATAAAAATAAATAATAATCCCTTTGATTTCCGTCATCAACACTGTGCAGTTTTTGGCATACAAGCCTTGAACATATTTTGTTAGATTTACACCTGAGTATTTCTTGTTTTGGAGTGATTATATTGAGTGATGGGATTCTATTTTTAATTTCAGTGCCTACATATTCATTGTTCATATGTTACTGATATATGTTCATATATACATTTCATTGTTAGAATAGAAATACAATAGGTTTTTGCATCTTTATCTTGTATTCTTCAACTTGTGCTGGGGCACCTGGGTGGCTCAGAGGGTTAAAGCCTCTGCCTTTGGCTCAGGTCATGATCCCAGGGTCCTGGGATCAAGCCCTGCATCAGGCTCTCTGCTCAGCGGGAAGCCTGCTTCCCTTCCTCTCTCTCTCTGCCTGCCTCTCTGCCTACTTGTGATCTCTGTCTGTCAAATAAATAAATAAAAATCTTAAAAAAAATTAAACAACAACAACAAAAAAACTCATGCTGAACCTGCTTAATTCTAGGAGTTTTGCAGATTCCTTGGGACTTTTTACATTTTCTGTAAATAGGGACAGTATTAATTCTTCCTTTCTGACCTGTATTTTCTTTTCTTGCCTTACTGCATGGATTAGATCTCCATTACTTTCTTGAATAAAAGTGGTGAGAGTAGATATTCTTGCCTTGTTACTGATCTTAATGAGAAAGCATTCAGTATTTCACCATTAAATATGTAAGTGGAAATGTTTTTGTAGATGCAATGTATCAAGTTGATAAATTGCCCTCTACTCTTATTTTTCTGAGAGTTTTTCCCATACAGGGGTGTTGAAATTTGTCAAATGCTTTTCCTATATCAATTGATATAATCAAGTGATTTTTCTCCTTTAGCCTGTTAATATGGTAGATCACACTGATTGATTTTTAAATATTGGGGGCGCCTGGGTGGCTCAGTGGGTTAAAGCCCCTGCCTTTGGCTCACGTCATGATCCCAGGGTCCTGGGATCGAGCCCCGCATCGGGCTCTCTGCTCGGTGGGGAGCCTGCTTCCTCCTCTCTCTCTGCCTGCCTCTGCCTACTTGTGATCTCTCTCTCTGTCAAATAAAAAAAATAAAATGTTAAAAAAAATAAAAAATAAATAAATAAATATTGAACAGCTTTGTATCTCTGGAATAAACTCACTTGGTAATGGTATATAATTATGTTTTGGTATTGCCAAATTCTATTTGCTAAATTTTGTTAAGAAATTTTTTGCATCTATATTCACAAGGGATCTTGGTCTTTACTTTCTTCCTTTTTTTACTGTTTTTGGTTTTGGTATCAGGGTAATACTGGCTTCATAAAATGAATTGGGAAGTCCCTTCCTCTTCTATCTTTTGAAAAAGATTGTGCAGAATCAGTATTAAGTCTTCCTTAAATGTTTAATAGAATTCTCTAGTTTAACCATCCAAAGTCAGAGATTTCATTATTGGGTTGTTTTAGAATTACAGATGTGAGTTCCTTAATGATCACAGGGCTATTCAAATGATCTACTTTGTGTCAAGTTTGTTGTAGTTTGTGTTTTTTAAGGAACTGGACCATTTCATCCAAATTGTCAAATTAATGTTTGTAGAGTTCATAATATTTCCTTATTAGCTTTTCAATATTGGCAGAGTCTGTAGTGATATTCTCCATTTCAGTCTTGATATTAGCAATGTCTGTCTTCTATTTTTAATTTGTCAAGAGGTTCTTTGCTGGAGGATAGCAATGTTACAGTTCTTTTCAAAGGAGCAGCTTCCTGCAGGCTACCAGAACAGTTTTTAGAATTCCATATTGAATTATCTGAAGTAAATTCCCAAAGGATATTACCACTGGCTATGGAATTCTGGGTTGGCAGTTATTTTCTTGCAGCCCTTGAAAACTATGCCCCTGACTCTGGCCATTGTAGTTTCTGATGAGAAATCTAATGTCATCCAAATCGTTTTGCCCCATAGGTAAAGTGTCATTTTCCTCTCAGTGCTTTCAAAATTTCTTTTTCATTGGTTTTCAGAAATTTGACTATGATATGTATCCTGGTGTGGGTTTCTTTGTATTTATTCTCTTTGGGATTCATTAAGCTTCCTCAATCTGTAGGTTTATACATTTTCCAAATCTGAGAACTTTCCAGCCATTACTTCTTGGATGATCTTTTTTTTTTCAACCCTGCCTGTTTTGTCCCCTTCCTTCCCAGACTCTGATGACAAGAGTGTTAGATCTTTTGTTGTAATCCCACAGGTCCCTGAAGCTCTGTTGTTCAGAACATATAATTTCTATTGTTCCATCTCATCAGTTCTTTCCTTTGTCCTCTCCATTCTGCTTTTGAGCCCACCCACTTAAGTTTTTTGTTCATTATTGTATTTTTCAGTTCTATAATTTCCACTTGGTTTTTCCTTATATCTTCAGTTTTTTTTGCTGATACTTTCTATATTATCATTTATTTCAAGGAGCCTCAAGGCTGACTGGATTGCTAGGTGGGTCCTGCCAGGGGGAGCCTGGAGCAGAGCGCAGGACAAGATTTCTGTCAGAGGCTGTGACTGACCTATTTGGGGCTTAACCCAGCTTAGGTCCCTTCTGTTGCTTTCTCCACTTTTTTTCAGTGGGGGAGGGAGAGGAGGAATGAAGTGTCACTGGAAGGTACTCCTTTCTAAGAACACTCCAGAAAGGCCAGGGTTTGTATGTCCATAGCCAAATCACTGCCTTGCACACAGCAGGCTCTCTAGAGATACTGTTGGCTAAAGGAGGGAATGAAATGCCCTTCTGTCACTCCTCTCCCTCTTCCTAATGTCTTCCCCTCCCTTCTGTCACTCCTCACCCCACTCCTAATAGGTCTTTGACACATTTTATTGCCCAACTTCTATTGGCTAACAACAGCAATCATCCCAATGTTGTAGACTGCATAATAGTTCTCAGAGATATGGATCCTAATCCTTGGGACCTGTGAATATTTACCTCCCATGGCCAAAAGGGACTCTGCAGATGGGATTAATTTAAGGATCTGGAGGTGGAGGAATTATTCTGGATTATCCAGAAGGGCCCTAAATGCCACTGCAAGTGTCTAAGAGGGAGACAGAGGGAGACTTGACCACAGGAGGGCAGATGTTGTCATGGTGGAAGCAGAGGTTGGAATGAGTTGCTTTGAAGGTGGAGGAGGGGGTGATGAACCAAGGAATATGGGCGGTCACTAGAAGTCCTAACATGCCAGGAAACAACCCTCCCCTTAGAGCCTCCAGAAATAACCAGTTCTGCTGACACCCTGAGATCAGCCCAGAGGAACCAATTTTGGACTATAGCCTCCATAAGTGAAAGAGGATAAATGAGAATTATTCTAAGCTACCCTGTTTGTGGTGATTTGTTACGGGCCCAGTAGAAAACGAACACAACTAGTATCAATTGAGTGTTGTCCTATGAACTTTGCTTGTGCCAACTCAAGTAATTCTCACAGCAGCCTAGGAAGCAGGTCCTCTCATTACCCCACTTTGTAGATGCAGGTGAGGCTTAGAGAGGGTGAGGCACTTGCCCCAGGGTCACACAACTTGCTGGGGTGGGAGCAGCTCAGGCTGCAGGGCTTCCAGTTATGGGTGAGACCCTTCTAAAAAGTTACTAGCTCTAAAACATACAAAATAAAATGGCAAATTCAAAAGTATTAACAATTAAAAGCAAGATCATTAAAGTAATCCTTTCCCTCAGTCTTTCTTTCTGGCAGAAAACGTTCTCCTTAGCACGAGTGTGGAATCCCTTCATAAAACACTTGCTGTGAAGAGGAGCCAGGCCTCCTTTGTGCTGAGCAGGACCTCCCAGGGTGGGCTGAGGGTCTTGGAGCCAGAAAGCAGCTAACCATGGGGCCACACCACCTCCACTGGGATGATCAACTCAAGCCTGGTGACCACTTGCTTCCAGCACTTTCTCTTCCTGAAGGAGGGGGCTCCTGGAGTATGCTTGCTTAGCAAATTCATAAGCAAATTTGTCACATTTGATAACTGATCAGATGGGAATACTGATTTACTGGAGGGGACAGACATGAATGGCACTTTGGAGAAAAGACGCCTGATATCATTCTATGTGTGCGTACACACACATACCCAGCTGTGGAAGGACCCACAGTGAGCTCGCTTTCTTTGTGTGAGCACTGGGAGGGGAGTTCTCATCATTGTGCCAACTTTACCCATGAGGAAAGTGGGTCAGAGAGATGGTTTACATTTATGATGCCCAACAGCATCCATACCGTGTCCAAGAGGAAGCCTGGCCCTGGGGACCCTTGAGGTCCCAACCTGCAGCTCCTTGCACCCTGTCTTGTGCTCTGGGGGTGGCAACCATCCAGCCAGGGGATGCAGCCTTCTCTGCTCCCTCTCAAATCCAGAAAACATAGGTACGGTGCATTCTGCTCAGAGCAAGGGCTCCAAGTGGAGACATGGCAAAGAGACCACCCAAGAGTCCCAAAGCTGGGGGTGACAGAGGCCATGGGACCACCTTACCATCCTCGCTGAAGATGGGAGCGGTATGCAGGTAGTGGGTGATGCTGGGGTCTTGCTCAAAAGGACACTCCACTTGTTTCCATGTGATGAACTCTCCAACCTGCTTGGCCAGCTCCAGAAATTTCTGCCAGGGTCACAGAGACACAGAATGGGAACCCCCTCCCCAGTGCCTGGAGGTCACCTGTGAGAGGGGGCCAGCCCCACTCATCTTTCCTAAGGAGGCCCACCTTTGGGAAGGGCAGGGCGAAGCATTCCCATTGGGAATGCTGAGTGTTTCCTATGTCTCTTCATTCCCTCTGAGGAATATCAGGAGCGAGCATCTAGGACTCATCATCAGCAGGCAGTGCATTCAGCTAGACCTGAATATTACTCTATTTTCCTTCTACTTATGTTTGTGATCATTCCTACAGGTTTGTTTATTTAGAGAATGATGCAAATAAATGTACTTAAATGTATTTAAAGAAGATTTAAGTAAACCCATTTAAGTAGGATTTTTATTTCAGTAAAACTTAAGTAAATTTATTTAAACTATAAAGAACTACAGTTAACTTAAAGTAGGATTTCAAATAAATAGCAGCACCAAGTCATAACTGGGTGGAAACCATCCTTGGGGGCATCCTTTGGTCAGTCCTGGCAGCTGACTCCAGCCCCCACAGCCCATGCCCCAAATCTGGGGCCACATGACCACCTATCCCTCAGCCTCGGTTCTGAGGACCAATTCAAGGAGGGCCCAATACCAGGCTTCTCACACCAAGTATGTGCAACCTCTTGGGGACAGTGCAATCCCAGGCCCCTGCAGTCTCCCTCAAGCCCAGCCCAGTGGAGTGTCACTCCACGTCACCTCCAGCCCGGACTGCCCCAGGGATGTAGTGCCTGGGCAGCCCTCATGGGGAACCAGGCCTGCATGCGGCATGGGAAGGTCTGCTGGCGGGTCTGTCTGTGTGAGGCCCCATAGCACATGCAGCTCCAGGCCAAAAGGCCCAGGCATTGGATGGGGCCACACTGGCAAAGGACAGTGGCAGGGCAGCTGGGATTGAAGCCCCACTTTATGGAGGGAGAGACTGAGGCCCAGAGAGACCAAGGGACCAGCCCAGAACCTGATTGCCCCATGGTGTTGGGGGCTGGGTGCACCAGCCCTCCTGAGGGAGAAGAGTCTTGTCCTTCCTGAGGACTGGTGGGTGCCACTGTCGCATGGCACGCTTCGTCTGACTCAGTGACCGCTTGCTATTGCTGCCCAGTGCTCTCAGGCTCCCGGGCCTTGGCCCCATCATGCCTAGCCCACCAGCCACTCCAAGACATGTGTGCCGGGTGGTCCCATGTGGGAGGTCAGCCTGACTTTGCTTGGACTTTGCTTGGGAGCTTTGCTAGGGGACTGTGAGGAATGCCTAGCCCACTGAGCACAGGTCACAGAGGCCTCCCTCTGTCTGGGTGGTCAAGGGGGGGACTCTTGGAGGAGGGGACACTTGAGAACTTGAGCTGATGGCAGTTGAGTGCCTTCAGAGGGAATAGAAATCCTTCTTCCCCTCTGCCTGCTCTGCCTGACCACATCCTCTGGGGTTTAGGGCCCCTGCTTTGGGAGGTCTCCACTGACCCAAGCATGCCCTGTGTCCCATCCCAGCACCTTGCCCCATGTCACTGTGGGTCTCTGGGGCTTTTTCCTAGCCTGGTGCTCTTCAAGGGCTGAAAATGAGTCTGCCTCACCTGTGGGTGGGCAGTGGGGGATCAGTCAGCCTCGTCTCCTCCTATGGAAGGGGTGGGGTCGGGGGGAACCTGATAATTCCGCCCTGGTGTCTTATAAACTGCAGTACTCTGCCTCGAATCCCCATTAGTCCAGCGTTCCTGTCCTGGGGGCTTTGACCGTCCAGGCCCCCGGACCCTACCTCAAAGTTGACGTGTCCATTGGGGAGGCGGTTGGCGCAGCCCTCGTTCAGGAAGTAGATGTCTTTGATGAGCAGGCTGAAGAAGGGAATGACGATCTGGAAGGGGGAGGGTGCTGATCAGCCCTCAGTCAGCAGGGGCCGGACTGTTTCCTCCCAGGCCCCATCAGACTCCAGCACTCATTGAGCGCCTACTGTATATGGTGCCATTCTCCCTGTGTTGGGGCTGGGTGAAAGACACACGGTCTCAATGCTCCTTGAACGTTTATTCCACTGTCTGCCGGGAGAAGCTGTGGCAGTTTGTCCCCACAATGCAGGGATCCACAGACCTAGGCCTCCTGGTTCAAGTGCTCTAGGAGGAACACAGGTGTGTGCTGAGCCCGCCATTAAGTACACATGGGATGGGAATCAGCTGTCGCACAATTCTGTGGCCTACTTTTCAAAATCTATATTTAATGATCTGTCATTTTATGCCTGATGCTGGAGATCCGATCCTGCCGTATCCCTGCTCCAGGGCCTGAGGGGACTGGCTTCTGTGCTCCACCGGAGAAGGGCGGGTGTCTGTGTGCCTTGCTTCTCCCTCCCTGCTCTGCGTAAGCCCACGGCTGACCCTCAGAGAAGGGACGCTCACTGCCCACGGCTCAGACAGCCCTCGGGGAGCTGGCCAGGTGAACACTGCTGCTGCGGGTTGAACTGCGGCCCCCAAAAAAGATATATTCCAAACCTAAGCCCCAGTGCCTATGCACAGGACCTTATTTGGAGATGGTCTCTGCAGATGACGTTGAGCTAAGATGAGGTCACACTGGGCGTGATGTGCTCTACTCTAGTGACTGAGGTCCTTGAGAAAAGAGGGCAATTTGGGCACACGCAGCAAAGAGAGCCATGTGAAGACAGGCAGAGGCAGGCGGGGGTGACCGGCCACTGGCAGAGGAATGCCTGGGGCCATCAGAAGCTGGAAGGGCAAGCAAACATCCACCCTTTGGAGGGAGCATGGCCCTGACAACTTTGATTTTGGCATCTGGCCTCCAGAATGGGGAGATAATACACTTCTGTTGTTCCAAGCCACCTAGTTGGTGTGCTTTGTATGTCGGCTCCACGGGACTAAAACACCTGCTCAGCCCTTGGGCTCCAGAGCTACTCACCTCCTGCCAGGCCAGCCAGGAGCGGCCTCCAGCCCATCGCCCCTGGGACCAGGCACTGGGCCCTGACGTTTCTGGCTCTCCCTCCCCCCGCCATCCAAGTCAACAAGGGCTTTGAGGTGAGGGCCTGGGCATGACCACATGGCACAGTACAGGAGCAGGGAGGACGGCTCAGTGGGGCAGAGGGGATGGGAAACTGAGACCCACAGAGTGGCAAGGCCTAGCCCAAAGTCAGGGGCTGGCACTAGAGCCAGATTCAGTGGGGAGACCAGCTGCCTGGTTGGTCCAGGACTGAGGGGGTTCCTGAGGGCAGTTTCAGTGCTCAAACTGGAACAGTCCCAGGGAGACCAGGACACACTATTTGCCCTGCATGTATGTCAATGGCACAGACAGTAGCTCGGGTCTTCACTCTGCCAGGTGCTGGGGCTTGGGAAAGTGGGGAGTGTCAGACACATCCAGTACAGCGGGAGACAGTCCCAGGACCCACCTACAAAATGAGCCTCAGCGGGGAAGTCTTTGCCACCCACACCTGGGTGTAGTCCCCCTCTGTGCTGCTCAGGAGGCCTCCCCTCACGCCCTTGTCATGGGGCATTGGTGGTGGGCCTGAGGGCGGCACTGTGCCAAATATTACATGCACGGGGATCAGAGTTTCATTCCCAGGAAGTTCCATGAAGCAGGGCTCTGTTAGCCCCCATTACGGATAAGAAGCCAATACCCAGAGAGGTTAAGCCACTCACATATGCTCACACAGCAGTAAGAAGCAGAGGACCCTGGTGGCTTGGTTCCACAGTCCCTGTCCTGTGGGCTTCCTCACCGTGCCTGGAGGGAGGGTGGTCTCTGTGCATCTCCCCCACCCCCACCACTGGCATTAAACCCCAGGCCCAGGGTTGGTACACGATGGCTGTATTGGCTTGGAAAGGGGACATGGGCCTGGACAGCGAACGGATTAAGGGCAGTGGGACCTGTGGACAGAGACAGCTCCTGGGGGGCCCGGTGCAGGCTTCCTGCATGCTGTGCACTGGGGCTGGTCTTCAGGGGGGTAGTGTTTTCCATGTCTGAGAACCTTTAACCATTTCTGCCTGTCCACGTAGGTCCAGGCTACCATCCTATCAGGCTCTAGCATTCTAGCTGGCAAGACTGTAGCCCGCTGCCCTTGCTTTCTGGAGCTGAGCAGTTCCATCTAGGGGTCATCCAAGAAAGCCTGTGTGGAGTGGGCCCCACCACAGAGATGGGGGGAGAGGAGCAGACAGGAACCAGCCACAGGCAGGAAGAAAGCACAGAATGCCATGACCACTGGAGCCTCCTGGCCTCAAAATTTCAGCTGGGAACTACAAGAACATCTGCAAGCATCCTTGCTCCCCCGGCCCTTTTTTCCTTTTTTCTTTCTTTCCTCCCTCCTTCCCTTCTTTCTCTCCACCCAGCCATCCATCCATCCTCCAATCCCCCACCCATTGGTGAACACCTCCTGTGGGCCCAGCCAATGGTCCATATCTCTTTGGAGGTTAGAGGAGAATGCAGCAAAATGAAATAAACGCACAGCTCCGTAAATCACCCACCTCTAGTCCCTCACCTAAGCCACAGCATCCCCGCACCCCCCGAGCTGGACAGAGGGATTCAGTGTGCAGGAATAGGACATCCCAGTCTGCCCCACAGCCACCTGGCCAGCACAGATGGAAAAAAGGCAGTGCCCCAGCTGATATCCCAGATCAAAGGCTGAAGCCAGCTCTGTACACCCCCACCTGCAGCCCAGCTCCGAGGCCACCTGCCAGCAGCTCTGTGACTGCCATATGGCCCCTGTGCTTTGGGAATGGGAGGCAGCCCAGAGGTGTGCCGGAAAGGCTAAGTCTGATTCCTGGCCCTGCTGCCTACTCGCTGTGTGACTGGACAAGCGAGAGCTCCTCTCCAAGTCTTCTAACCCGAGAAACGGCACTGCCAGACTCTATCAGTAGTCATCAGAATGAAGTGGGGGCGGGGACAGAGTCAAGGGGCCCCCAGGTGGTAGGTGCTCAATAAGGCAAGATCACTGTCCCTGCCACTCTGGACTTCCAGCTTCCTGGCCCCTGGGGGGACAGGCTCGCCGGCCCTGGGGGTTGAGGTCTGGCCTCACTAAAGGCTGCTCCCCAGCATCAGCCGTCCTCAGACCCAGAGCTGCCGAAGGGCTCACAGCCTGAGCAGGAAAGGCCAGCTGCCTAGCATGGGGCCACTAGTGTGGCCAGGGTCTGTGGGCAGCCCCCCTGCTGGGCGGGGGGTTCAAGGGGGCCTGTCTCAGCCTGCTCACCCAGCCTCACCAACCCCTGGTGCCCAACCGATCCAACTGCAGAGTGACTCTGAATTTCAAGAAAAGCAGCTTCTTCTGTTATCCCTCGGGCCGGACACAGGCCTGTGCAAACCACAGCACAAACCTAATTCCACTGACATTCCTGCCAAGAGACCAGGTGGACGAGGGACAGCAAGCCTCAGCGGTTCCTCCCCATGGAAACGACAACTCTAATAGTCAGGGTGGGAAGGGTTCTAAGTAAGAGGCTCACTGCCATCCCAAGGCACGGTTTCTGGGGCGGGAGGCCACCAGAGAATTTGAGAGACAAATAAAATTGACCAGGGTCAGTGAAGGCACCTCCCCCACTCCAAATGCAAATGTAGAACAACAGAGGCTGTGAAAAGGCAGTTTTAGCAAGTGAGAGGCTCGGTTCACTCAGTGCCAAAAATGTGACTGTGATCTAAGGCTCCATTAGTGAAGGTCTTACATTTGGAGTAAGGAGGTGGAAGACACTATGCACTTGGAGACAATGTGATCTGAAACAGAAGGGACTCTGATAAATGAAACTGTTCAGGGACCAAAGAGATCCAAGTGGGGAGGGGGCTGGAGACCGGAGTACAGCAGAGGATCGGGGGCAGGCCTGGGCTGTTGATTTTGAAGGCAGGAAGGGGTATAGGGGTGCTGAAGGACAGGTGGGTAGAAGAGGGAAGGGGGGCCTGGGTGGCTCAGCTAGTAGCTGAGTGTCCGACTTGATTTCAACTCAGGTCATGATCTCAAGGTCATGAGATCGAGCCCCACATTGGGCTCCATGCTCAGCAACGAGTCTGCTTGAGATTCCCTCTCTCTCCCTCTGCCCCTCCCCCTGCCCGTGTGCTCTCTCTCTTAAAGAAAAGTTAAAAAAAAAAAAAGGAAAAGAAAAAGAGGGAGCACCCTCACTCTGCATAGTGCTCCAGGGAGGACAACGCCAGCTCGATAAAGAAGCACTTCCTACCAGTGAGAGCTGCGTGGGTATGGGCTGATCTGTTCTGTGCGGTGGTGAGTCCCCCATATTAGAGGCATGCAAGGAGCATAGTTGTCTATACAGATGCTGCAGAAGGACGGAGGGGGGTGGTGGACCAGGTGAGCTGGGAGTCGGCATCCAGGCTCTCTAATACAGCCCACCTGGGGCCGAGGTGGGGGGGGTTAGGGAGGAGCTCTGAAGGCCGGGCAGGTCTCTGACTTACCTTTTCCCGGCTGCTGTGGGCAGTCAGGGAGCGGTGGGCTGCCCCCCGCAGGGCTGTCCTGTAGTTGCAGAAATTCCCAGTTGGGTCCATCTGGTGCTAGAAGGGACACAAGGAGGCATTGGGGCAGCTGAGTCCCAGGGCTGGCCAGGGCCGGCCGGCAGCCCAGCAGCCTTGCTCACCTCGAGGATGAAGAACTTGGCCGTCTTCACTTTGGCCCAGGTCTTCTTCAGCCTGGAGACGGGGCTCATGTTCATGCCGGCTGGAAGAGGAAGGGTCGAGCTGGGGCAGGGGAGAATCTCCGAGCTGCACCGGTCTGCTTACTCCCTCAGGCAGGGGGTCTGGGGATGGCCCCAGCAGGCCAGCCCCTCTGGCTGCCCCTGATTGAGGCTAAGCCTGCGGCAGACAGCCACATGGGGGGTGGGTGGGTGTTGATGGACACTGTGTCCCGGAGAGCCTGGCTGCTGTGTGCACAGGCTCCTGTTCCCACACCATGACCAGGGTCTGCTTTGGGTCCCCGCTCTCCCTGGATCTGGGGACATATGGCCAAGTCCTCATAAAGTCCCCTGAGGAGGTCAAGCTTGACTCAAAGTGGGGGCCCCTCTCTAGGACCTCTGGGCCCAGCAGCACCTGCCCTGCTCTGAAGAGCACCCTGGCTCGCACCCTGCCCACCCGTGGGTGCCCGCTCCAGCCTCTCTGGGGGCGCTCCCAGCAAGGACCAGGGCCCGCCGGCCTACTCACAGATGATGGCCATCAGAGAGTTGAAGTTGCCAATGTTGAAGCACTCACGGGCCACATCGATGAAGAACTCCACCACCTGGGCCCTCTGCTTCTTCTTGGCTGGCTGGGGACAGAGCAGCCGAGCCTCAGTGGGGACAGTCCCCAGCGCGTCATGGGACCAGTCCCTTGTCACCGTTCTCGCAGCCCTGTGCACGGCCGAGTCGCTTGATGCTGGGGCAGTCTGCAGCCCGAGGGTTCAGGGTCTCAGCACGCCCTGGGCAGGCCCAGCAGAGCCCACATGGGGCGGAGGAGCTGCCTGCCATGCTTGAGACACCAATCTGCCCTCCCTCCAGGTCCAGTTCCAGCACTCTGTCCTTCCTGTCCCCCCGCAGCACCATGCTTGCTCTCCCCATCCTGGGGCCACACACAGACCCAGGCCCTGTCCCCAGAGCAGGCCCTCCCCTGTTTTCTGTTGAATGACTGCGTGATCTCACCCCCAGCTTATAGCCATGTGCTTGGGACTGTGACTTCTCCCACGGCCTCTAACAAACCGTGCCACCCGCTGGGCTGTCTTGTGCTGAGGCACTTCCCAACTCCCCGGAGGGTTCAATCCCGTTCAGTCCAGCTTGGCCCGAGCAAAGCCCCCTCTGGGCTGCCGGGCCAGAGATGGAAATGCAGGGAGAACCCTGGTGTTCTTGCTTGCTTACTTCTGCGTCACACTGGTCTTTACCAAGAAGAGTGAGACACACTGCCCAAGCCCCCTTGGAAAGCCTCCCCACCTGAGGTCCTTCTGTCCTTCCCCGGGAGTCTGCACAGTGACAGCGATGGCCAAGCAAGGAGGGGGGCCAGAGGCCAAGCATTCCAGCTGCTGGTGGCCCTCAGCAAGAAGCACTCCTGAGGCCAAGGCATCGCAGACCAGTTTCTTCTGAGTGGCCCTGCTTCTGCCCCTTTCTCTGTTACTCCAATTTCTATCTCAGCATTTGCTCCCAGAGAGCACCAGTTGGCACTTGTGTTGCCTCCAATCTTTGCTGGATACAAATGGCCCCAGGGCTTCACCCGATGCTGACAGGGGGTTTGGAGGTGGCTCCCTGCCCTCCAAGGAAGAGAAGAGGGCAGACAGGGTCTGGCCCTGAAGGATCATGCCTTGGTGACACGTGCCTCTGTCTCAGTACTGACAAGACATCCTGCTTTCTGGGAGAAGCTGGAGACCTGGGCTTTGCATGTGTAGTCTCCCAATTCTTACAGGTTGGTCCTGCAATGTTGGTCCATTTCTACTCTAAATCCTGAGAGCCAAGCTCGGCATGGCTGCAGGCCAGGCCCCCCAAGGCAGACAGGCACAGATGGAGGGAGCAGAGCCACCTGGCAGAGCAGTAAACCACTTCTCAAACCCTCAGCAAGTGGTCTCTGATGTCCCATGCTGGAGTCCAGTGGATCCGTGCCAGGCTCTGCCCAGAGGGAAAGGTCACTGCAGGCAAGCTGGGTGACACCGGCTATCCCAGAGAGGTGTCCAGCTTCATCCTGGCCTTGGACACCAACAGGCTTAAGATACCCTTCTGATTCCCTCCCAGGTGGGTCCCCCCAACCCCTGTCACCTCGGGCTATGCTAGGTCATGTCCCCGGCCACCTTGGGCTACCCTGGCCACCTTGGGCTATGCTAGGTCATGTCCCCTGCCACCCTGGGCTATGCTGGGTCATGCCCCCCAGCTTTCAACGCACCATGCAGATCTCAGTCGCCACGAGGTAGCACAGTCTGTTGAACCATTTCACGTAAGCCTCCAGATTGTTGGTCTTGTCACTGAAACAAGGCTGGGAAAGACACAAGGACCACACTCAGCCTTGCTGTCAATAACTTTTGGAACATTAAGTCAGTTCATTGATCATTCTCATAGATCATCAGGAAAATGCTGGGACCTCAAAACTATCCACAAATACCCATGATTTGATGTTTATCCTTCAGGTCTTTTTCCTATACATTCAAAGATGTAATTTCATATGATATATATATATATGTAAGTATGTATGTAAATACACACCTCCCAACACAGCTGATTGTCACTATTCATGGATTCTGTATTTGTGAATCTGTCCGCTTCCTCAAAATACATTTGTAACCCCAAATCATTACTCATGTCTCTTTCACTGTCATTCATGGTGCAGAGTGGCGTGTCCCCCAGAGTCACAGAGCCTGTGTGTTCCCAGATGAGGCTGAGCTAAGTGACAATGTGCCTTCTTGTTTCAGCTCCTGTACTATGAACAACTGTCCTTTTTTGGTGGTCTATTCAGTGTGATGGTGGGTTCCCTGCTTAAAGCGGCTCCAAGCACAGTGCTATAGTTCCTAAGCACACGACAGCTGTGATGGGCCCTGAGGAGAAAAATGTGTTAGATAAGCCGCACCTACACATGAGTCATGGCACTGCTGGCTATGAGTTCAATGTCACTGGAAGAACAAGGTATATTAAATAAGGTGTCTTTGAGCCAAAACACATACAGTGCAAGGCTATGTAAGGACTGGCAGATGCAAGTGTGGTTGGGAGGCTTACAAGGAACCTAAGTCTGTATTTCCGTATTCACATACGGAGCAGTGGTATTTGCTAATTCCGTGTTCATGATGACATCATGGGATATAATCAATTCCCATAGGTAATGACAGTCAACTGTATGTGTGTATCCTTCTATCTGAATATAACCATATATCAGGAACCATTTCCTATGCCATAAAATAGCCTTTGGATATCTAATTTTTCAATTGATGTAGATATTCAACTGCATAAATGTATGAGAGTTTAAAAGGTTAAACCTAACTTAAATATCTACATTGAAATTGCAAGTGTGACCTTCAATACGTAGAGGGGAAGATGGAATGGGGGGATCCACTAATCTGAAAAAGTAAAGGAAGGAAAGGAAAGGACAGGGCAGGGGCAGGAAGACAAGCAAAGGCCCTACACAGAAGGTGGTAAAACCTAATCCAGGTACGTTGGTGATTATAATTGCTGTAATTTTAAAACTCTCTCAAAATAACTTATTACACTGTACTCACCCTTCTCCCTATGATGATGTGAGAAACTCATCATAAATTTATGATGTAAATTTAAAACTCCAGCTACTTGCCATTTTCAAGTGGCTTGCCCCAAACCCAAAGATATATAGGTAAAAACATTGAAATATATATATGATGAATATATGAGTATATTCATAGCTGTACGAATATTAGACAAAATAGATTTTTAAGGGGAAAAAAAGACTCTAAGGCAAAAGGCATCAGAGGAGATTCAAGGGGAACCACATAATGATAAAAGGTTTAATTAATCATGAATATGTCACAAATCTAACCTTGCTTGTGCCCAATAAAATAGCTTCAAAATATGGAGGCAAATAGTCAGAAAGGCTTAACTCCTTTAGAGGGAGAAATCAAATCTTATTGCCACAATGGAAGATTTTAACACAAGGTCAGCAATTCATAGATAATAGAGATTAAAAAAAACAGTATAAATATAAATTTGAGCAACACAACTTACAGAGTTGAATTAACAGACAACTAGAGAAGCCTGCTTTCACTCAACCATATGAAAATGTGTATTCTTTACAAATAGTCAGAAATCTAAAAGCACATTTTAAAATAATCTATTGGTCAAAGATGAAATCATCATGGAAGTTAAAATGAGAATGTTGAAAACAATTATGAGAGTGCAAATAAAAAACTTATTTAGAAAGAAATGAAGAGTCTTTCATACTTTTATTAGGATGGAAGAAAAGATGAAAACAGGCTGTGCATCCAACTTAAAAAATTAGAAAAAGAATAACAAAGAAAGAATCCAAAGAAAGCAGATGGAAGGAAATAATGAAGATGAGAGAAAAAAAATGAAATTGTAAAGAAAGATGCAACATATAGAATCAACAAAGCCAGAAGCTCTTTATTTGAAAAGACTAATAAAGTTGATGAACCCTTAGCAAGACTGATGAAGAAACAGAGAGAAGTAAATACAAAGAATATTAGAGGTGAATATGAATGTGAAAAGAGTGAAAAGATAACTAGAGAGTATTGTGAATAACTTTGAGTCTACAAATGTGAAAACTTAAAGAGGACTGAGTCAAATTTCTGGAAAAATATAAATTAAAAAGTAGAATAAAGAAGAAACAGAAAGCCTAAACAGTCCTATGATTACTAAAACAAGGAAAATCTTGAATGGGTACATAAAAGTCTTCCCAAAAAGGAAATGGCAGGCTCGGATGGTTCACTAGCAAATTCTCCCAAATGGTCCAGGAACAGGTAAGTCTTTCACAGAGAACAGCAAACAGGGAGAAAACAAAGACAAGACAAGAACAGGAACAGAAAGGAAAATGAAAAGTCAACCACATGATTCTAGTTGCAGAAATCCTAAACAAAACAAGAGCAGACAGCCTGAGGATGCACATAAAGATAAGGATTGCAACCCAGTTTTGTTTATCCCAGAAATGCAAGGTTGGCTCAACACTGAAAAAGAAGAAAACAACTAATACAGTAGTTCCCCCCTTCTCCGTGGCTTGTTGTTCATGGTTTCAACTACCTACCATCAACCACGGTCCGGAAGCAAGATGATCTAAGACTACATCACGGCGCCTATGTCATTCACCTCACTTCATCTCACCACACAGGCGTCTTACCATCTCACATCATCATAGGGAGAAGGGTGAGTACAGTGTAATAAGTTATTTTGAGAGAGAGAGAGGCCACATACACATAACTTTTATTAGAGTATACTGTTATAATTGTTCTATTTGATTATGAGTTATTCTTATTAATTTCTTACCATGCCTGATTTATAAACCTTATCATAAGCATGTGTGTATAAGAAAAAGTGTAGTATGTACAGGGTTCATACCATCCATGATTTTGGGCATCCACTGGGGGGTTTGGAACATATACCCCACAGATAAGGAGGGGGACTACTGTATAAGTAATTACTTAACGGTTTAAAAGAAAAGAGAACATAAGGTTAATAGACCCAGAAAAAGTAGTCAATAAAATGCAACAACGATTCATGATAAGAACTCTCATCAAAGTAGGACCAGGGGACTTCCTTGAGCTCATAAGGACATCTAGGGGGAAAAGAATATCATAGCAAACATCATACTCTATTGTGACATGTGAAAAGCATTCTGTTTAAAATCAGAACAAAAGAAGAATGCCGGCTAGCAACACTTCCTTTTATCATTTTGCCAGAAGTACTAGTTAGCACAATAAGCAAGAAAAAGAAATCCTATTGGTCAGACTTAGCAGGGTTATTCTGTAATAACTAGTTATCCCAACATTTCAGAGATTTAAAAAATAGGGCCCATCTGTTATTCATGTCCACTCTTATCAGTGGAGGATTCTTTGTATGACTACCCTAGAAATAAAAAGAATAAGGATTGGAAAGGAAGGAACAAAACTGCCATTATTCCCAGATGATGTAATTGTCTATGTGAAAAACACCAAGGAACACAGAAAAACTATTAGAATTAACAAGAATGCATAATATCGTCAGATACACAGTTATATACAAAAGTCAGTGCCATTCCTTAAACTACATAAGCAGTTCAGAAATAAGTACAATAGAAGATGCCATAAGTAATAGCAAAAATATGCATAAGGAACCCAGTGGGGGAAAAAAATCTAACAATCTGTTTAATATTTTTATGGAGAAAGTTATAAAACATTAGAAAGGTATTATCTAAGTAAATGGCGGGACACACCATTTGTATGGGTCAGGGGAACTCGGTATCACGAAGAGGAAAATTCTTCCCAAATTGGTCTGTATTTCATATAGTCTAACAAAATCCCAGTAGAGGATTTTTCACGGAATTTGGAAAAGGATATAAAATTTCGAACAGAAAAACAAAGGGCCAAGAGTGGCCAAGCCACTGCAAATGAGGAGGGTTTGTTTCACCAGATAGGGAGAAGAAAACCCAGCACACAACCATAATCATGAAGACGATGTATCCTGACACAGAGATAGAAAAACTGACGAGTGGACAGAACAGACATCTCCACGTGTAGATCCAACCTGACATACGACAGGACGGAACTGTCAGGGCAGACGGGCAGGCAAGACGATACATTAAAAAGTAGTGCAGGAACACTTGCTGTTTGTGTGCAAAACCAGGAACATGGATCTCAACCTCAAGCCATAAAGTGAATTTCAGATTTTTTTTTTTTTTTTTTTTTTTCTGACAGAGAGAGAGGGATCTCAAGTAGGCGGAGAGGCAGGCAGAAGAGAGAGGGGGAATCAGGCTCCCTGCTGAGCAGAGAGCCCGATGCGGGACTCCATCCCAGGACGCTGAGATCATGACCTGAGCTGAAGGCAGAGGCTTAACCCACTGAGCCACCCAGGCGCCCCCACAAAGTGAATTTCAAATTCAAGGCTTCAATGTGAAGGGCAACATATTAAAACTTCTCGAAGAAAACACCGCAGATTATCTTTATGATCTGGGTAGGGAGCAGGGAGGGATTTCCTAACTCCCCTCCCAAGCCCCACCCCCCAAAAATAAAGGAAAAGCTTAGTAAATTCGATTCGGTTAAAATTAAAAACACCTTCTCATCCAGACACAGAATAATGAGAATGAAAAGCGAAAGCAAAACAAAACAGGAAACAAAACAAACCCCCCTCCAGGACCCTGAGATCATGACCTGAACCAGAGGCAGACACTTCACCAATTAAGCCACCCAGGCGTCCTGGTTGTTTTTTTCTTGAAAATCAACCAAATGAACCTGTCACTTCAAGGAAGTAACTGCTGGTATTTGTTGTCAGTGATAAAATTCAAAGTTTCAAGAGAGAATTGGGAACTTGTAAGACACGTATCCCTGTCTGTGACCTTGACACTTTCCCAATACCCACAGGCTCTTCTGGAAGGATGAGATCAGTAATGATATTAGTGGATATGATTTTAAAATATCGCATAATGAAATGTACCAATATTTGGAAGATCAGCCTGGATCAGTGAATTCATATGTATTCATATGAGTGTCGTTTCCAAACGACCAACATATGATGTTATTAAAATCATGCACGGGCAAAAGATCCATTCAAGATGCAAGATGGACCAATGGATTTTAATATAACAGAGGACTCAAAGTCCACTGATACATTTTCAGATTCCAAATTGCAACTAATCTTAAAAAAAACTACCACCTGCCAAGTTTTAGCATAGTATCAAAGAAAACTATTCACTAATCTTGAAATGCTGTAAAAATTCTCTCCCCTTTTCCAACTACATATTTGTGAGAGGTTGGATTTTTCAACCCAGACAATATATGTCAAGAGATTGAATGCGAAGCAGATAAGAGACTCCAGTTCTCTTTTTGTTGTGTTGGTCATTAAAGAGATTTGTACAAATACTGTAAAACAGTCTCACTCTTCCCTGTAATTTTTTTTTTTTTTTACTTTGGTAAACTTATTTCCATAAAATATATTACTGAAGTGAACATGTGATAGGTTATTATTGCTATCTGGAATAAATCTTTTAAAAATTATCAGTTGCAATGGCTAATCTGATGAATATTGTTAGATGTGATCTACATAAAAGTTCTTTGGGGCCCTTCGTAATTTTTAGGAGTATAAAGGGGTCCTAAGACCAAGTCATTTGAAAACTGATGCCCTAGAAAAATATGCACCGATGGGACAGGGAAACGTGTAAGAATGTTCACAGCAGCAGTATCTATAATAACGAGGCTGGAAACAACCACACACCTTCCTCTACCATAGAGTGGGCGAAGAGAGGTCACGGACAATCTCTGATGCACTTCACAATAAAAAAATAATGCTTAGAGATGGCCAAAAACCAAACCCATAACCAAAACCGAACCTCAAAAACAGCCCGCTGGGAGCAGCCAAGCCTCCTTCCCACTCCAACCCCCGTGCTCGTGCGGGGCTCCCAAGAGTACCCAGTGATTGTGTACATGCATGTTTTGTACAAACAGGTATGACGCACCCTCCTTTTTGGTTGTTACACAAATGGCCACATCCTCTTTGTCACTGCTCTTTGCTCTAGTTTTTTTCTCTCTGTGATGGATCTGGGAGATCATTCTCTACTTTTAGCCACTCTGATTCTTTTTAATAGATCCAGAGCATTCCGTGTGTGGACCTCCTGTAATTTGTAATCAAGCCCCTGCGGATGATAAGCTCGGTTGCTTCCAGCCTTTGGCCATGATTCCCACAGTACATCCCAGATACTTTTATGCATGCATCTTTTTGTACACGGGTGTGTATATCCACACGATAAATTACGAGGCGTTGAAAGTTGAGGTCAAGGGTATACATCTCAAGCACTGATACTATTGTCGAAGTGCCCCCCACAAAGGGCAGGGCCAGTCCCCCCACCATCCATGTATGTGAATGTGTCCTTCCCTATACACCGGTGTTTTGTCCCCGCTTATCCAAGAGGTGAAAACGCATTCCTGAGTAGTTGCTCCTCTTTAATTACACCAGAAGGCAGAAGACAACGTTTCCAGTTCTGATTCGAAGTACACCCGGTTGATAAGCACCAGGCACCCTAATGGTTGGGTTCTGACAGAGGAGGGGCAAACCCGAAATCCCGCTTCTGGGCGCTGTCCACAGTCCGTGGCCCCAGGGGCTCCTACATCCCTTAGACTGAAGAGCTCGCTCGTATTCTTTCCTGGGAAGAGCGCACGAGCGCGCACTACCCCGGGTGGCCGCTGGAGGGCACCAGCGCCCGCCGGAACGCGCCAGGAGAGCTTGGGGTGCGCTCCACTCTCCTCCCAACCTGGGCCCTTGGCTCCGCGCCCCAACCCCCGCGCCCTCCGCCCTTGCTGGGTGGGTGACCAGCTGGCTTCCCCAGGACTCAGGGCTGCTGGGCTGGAGGGGCACAGGTGAAGTGGACGCAGCCCCTCAAAGCCCATTGGCTCTGCCCCGGGCCCCTCGGAAGCTGGCCCAGCTGACACTCATGGCGTTCCCCAGAAAGGCCAGTGGGTTGGGGTCACTGGTGGAACAGCCTGTCCAAGGGCCTTCTACCTTTGTGCTGGCCAAAGGGTCCTTGTTCACAAAAGCCTGGATAAACTCCTCAGGCCCGATGTGCCGTAGCCGTTCCTGCACCAGAAGGGAGAATAGGAGTCGGGAAAGGGAGGAAGGTGTGGGGAGGGAGGTGCCCACCCAGGGCCTGGCATGGTACTTCTGCAGGCTCCCTGCCTCTCAGCCCAGCCAGGATGGTCTCTGGACAGCTTCCCTTCTCCCTAGGGCTCCACAACCCCATTCTGGGTTTTCACAGAGCTTGAAACCATCCCGAAGGAGGCACCCCTCTTTTCCCATGCCCAGGGGCTGCCGAAGCTCATGGGGGGCAGAAGGCAAGGTCCCCATAGGGCGTGCTTGGGAGATGCGAGACCCAGGAAACCCAGCTCGAAACTGGGTAACTGAAACAACCTGCTCCCTCCAGGGGAGGTCTGGGTCAGACTCAAATCCTGGCTCTGTCCCTTCTACTGTGTGGCTTCAGGCAAGTCTCTTTACCTCTCTGGGCCTTAGTTTCCTCATTGGTGCAAAGGGAATAATGATAGCACCTCCCCGGTGTGGTGTGGGAAGACGAAATGAGATGGTGCGCATTCAGTTCTGAGTATAGTGCCGGAAGGCAGTAAGGGAGCCATAAATGGTAGAGGTTTAAAAGAGAAGACCTACGGCCCCACCTCCCCTCTCTCTGGGGCAGGCCCCTCGGCCTTTGCACCTTTAAGGAATCCAACATGTGGGAGGCCAGACTGGGGTCTGGACTCAGTATGTCTGCGAGTCCTACATGGGGAAACTGAGGCCTTGGTAGGGAAGGCATTCATAGTGTGAAGCAGGTGGTGGCAGAGCCAGTGTTTGAATCCAGTTCCTCTGTCCAGGGCCCAGACTCTCAGGCAGGCCCCGGGTCCAAGCTGGGCAGGCCCAGCATATCCAACCCTCCTGCTGGAATGGTGAGAGACCATCCCAGAGCCAGGGCACCGTGGAGGTGCCCGGCTGGCCCCGCTGTGACAGGCTCAAGCCCCGGGGTTACACGGACACAAGGTGGGAGGCCAGGGATGGCCGGTCCTCAGTTGTTCCTGGCTCTGGGTCTGGCTAGAGGAGGGCCCAGGCCTGCTCACCAACTCCACATGGGTGAGCTGTTGGGCCAGAGTGTAGGGGTCACTGCAGACGCCGAGGAGTTCCCGGTGGATGGAGGCGGGTGGCTTGGTCCTGTAGGAGATGGGCTTGTCGGCACCCAGCAGGCCTTCTGGGCCCTGGCCCTGGGCAGCCAGCTTCTGGTGCAGAGCCTGTAGGAGCTGCTGCATCCTCTTTCGGTATGCCTGGAGAGGAGGTGGAAAGAGAGGAGTTCAGGCCCAAACACCCATCTCCTCGTGTCTAGCCTCTGAGGCTCTGGGCCAGCTGGGTTGTGAGCTGTGGCTGGCTGTGCCCACCCCCGTGTCCGCCCTGAAGCAGGACCCAACCCAGGGTGGCAGGGAAAGGTGGCAGGATGACCAGTGGGAGCTGAGAGGAGCACCTGTCAGGGAGGGCGACCAGGGTCAGGGGGCTGCCCCTGCTCTCTGGGCAGTGGGACAAGCTAGGGTGCACACTGCCAGGGAGACAGAGACAGGGAGAAAGGAGGGAGACGTGGAATGGGCTCTGCCCCACCCCCACCCTGGGGACCCCCTCCACTCTCCCGACTCTGAGAGGCCTTCCTATCTGTGCCCCAGCAGTACTTGCCCAGGTCACCCGATGTGACTTCCCTATGGGGCCACTGTGGGAGATGACCGGGGCGGTTTACTCCCCCACTACAGCGACAGCTCGGCGGGGGCAGGGAAGCCTGCGTGGTCCCCTCTCTGTGGGCAGAGCAGGGTCTGGCTCTGGGCCCCTGGTGGGCCTTTACTAACCACTTCTGCGAACAAAAGTGTCTCACCGTGCAGCTCGGACAGATATATGCTTGCTTTGGGCTGTCCTAGATGGAGTGCAGGGAAGAGAGGCTGTGCCCCCCCCGCCCCCCGCCAGAGGGGCACCCGCCTTCCCACACCCAACAAGGAAATGGATTATTACCCCGTCAGAAACCCCCATTTCTCGAGGAAGGCACCATCAGACTGGCTGTGTTTATGAAACTTGAGGCCCACCGTTCCCAAGGGGCTGGTCACTAATCCACAAACAGAGCCCCCGAACTTGTCAGCTGGACCTCCCCCACCCAGAGGTTGATTCAGCTCCAACAAACTGAGGAACTGGCTTGGGAGCAGGGACGGGTGTACCCGAACCCTAGCTCTTGCTCCCAGAGCCCCGGGGGCCAGGCCCACTGCTCAGCTGGATGGTAGGGGGGTAAACTGAGGTCCAAGTCTTCCATCCATCGCCTGTGGAAGGAGCAGCCCCTCTCAGCTCTGCAGGTCCAAGAGTGTGGTTAGCACGCTGCTGGTCAGGTCTTCACAGGAGTTGGGTCCATCTTGTGAACCCCGACACCCCGCACCACCTCCCTCCATCTCTCTCCTCACTCAGTCTGTCGGCAAAGCCTGGGGCCCTCTCTCAGGCTGCATCTGCCTCTGGTTCCTCCTGCTCAGGCTGTTGGCAGGCTCGTCTGCACCATCCTTCCGTGCTGGAGATCCCCCCACCCCACCAGCATCTGGGACCCCTCCCCTGCCATCTGTCCCTTGGTCCTGGGTACACTGGGTCATGTCCAGAGCATCATTCAGCATCTATGTGGACAACGTTCATCTCTCACGTGCAGCTTCTTCTCAGCTCTCCAGAGCCACATGGCCAAGGGGCCACCTCCACCCAATGGGTGTAAGGGCCATCTTGCTCCCCTTGCCCAGAGGTGCCTCCTCTGTCCGCATCACTGTCTCAGTGACTGGAGCAACTGAAGCACTCACATCTGAGGCTCAGGCCAGGGCCATCCTCAAGCACCATCTCCCACACAGCCCTCCTGCCCATCGCCGACCCTCCTGATTTTGCTTTCTGCAATCTGCATGCTTTGTCTCTGCTGCAGGCCCTCAGAGGGCCCCCTGCATCCCTGCTGGGCTCCCTTCACTCCACTCCACAGCCAGAGACGTCTGTTGAAAACGCATGTCTAACCCCTGCGTCCCCCTTCCTTTAAATACCCCAGTGCCTTTGCAAAGACAGAAGTCCCGTGGGGCTCAGGGGTCCTGAGGTCAGCTCTGGCCACATTCAATGGCCTCCACATGGCCTCTGTCCCCCTTCTCAGTGCTCCAGACCCAGGCCACTTCTCCATCCCTCTAGCCCCTTCCCCTGGCTCTCACCCCAAGGGGTGACCCCGGGAGGGCCTGTGCAGTCCTCTCTCTCTTCTATGTTCTTCTCATGGTTGTGACCTCAGAGCACTGGGCTTCCTTCCCACCCTTGGCCAAGCCTCGATCAAGTGATTGTCCATCTCCTCTCTCTGCTCTATCAGCCACATGCAGATTACACCAGGTCACCGTCTGCTCGTCCCCAGCATGAAGGACCTGGGAGGGGCTCACAGACACGATGTACCAACTGGATGAACGTGGCCTTTCCCTGGTTCTAGCTGGCCTGCCTCACCGGTGTAGACTGTGGAGCCCTCCTGAAGTCAAGGGCACAGCATGTCTATGCCTAGAGTCTGACAGAACCACGGACTTACCCTATATTAAAAATACGCAGATGATTTCGGAAGACTTGTTTCTTCTGAACCAATATATTCACTCCCAATGATGATCATTTTCTGCTTGAGAATTCCTTCAGAATTCACCCGGCAGTGTTGACCTCAAGCTCATCTGTTGGTTCTTTCCCGAATCTTCTGTACCCCATTCTGAATAGAGGGATGGTGTGTGCTGGTTCCTCTCTCATTTTCTCATGAGTCCCATGCCCTTGTGGATAGAGGCTGAGAGATCTAGGTACGTCTGAGCAGACCCAGAGACCGAGCTCTGAGGATGCTGAGGCTGTCCCTTGTCCCTGTCAGGAATGCACGCTCCAGAGCATGGGGGATGCCAAGCACAGCAGAGCTCTACCCCTCTTAGCCTGGCAACGCCATCCAATTCCAGAGCCACCTGCCAGGTACGCAGAGCTGGGTTTCAAGTACAGAGGTCATCCAAGGTGAAGACTGTGGCTCCCCAGGTGCCTCCTGGCCATTCGTGGTTAGAACTCATTTCTGGCTGGACAGTCAAGGGCCTCTGTCCTTTGGAGTTCTTGAAAATCCCACCTGAGCCAGCCCAGGGTGCCCTGCAAAGGGCTTAGCCCAACCCGCACAGGCAGACACCACTTTGTTTTCTGTGTTAGCTCCCCAACCCCTGTGCCCTCAGGGGGCTGCGTGGGGGCACCTTCGAGGGCAGCAGGGTCAGCCCAGCAGATAGTCATGGAAACGGGAAAGCAAGGCCATCCCCTGGGAGGGCCCACGGTATCAGCTTCTTCTGCAGCCGCCCTTTAGTGCAGCTGTGACCTCAGGGACTCCCCTAGCTTCCCCCCCTCAGCCTCAGCACTGGCCTCCGTGAGCCAACACTGCTGAGTCCAACCTATGGACAGCCCCTCCACAGCAGGTCCCCTGCCTAGCATGGGGTGGCCCTGAGCAGGTGTCCTCAATGCAGTGGCCATGTTCAGTCATGGAGAAGGGCCTTCTCAGCTCCTCTCAGGCTTTTTGTTCCCAGATGCTGAGAGGTGGAGGGCCGTGCTGGGAGATCAAGAGGGTTCGGGACGGGGAGCAGCAGGTAAGAGGGCAGCGTCACCTTTCCCGGCCCTCTGATGGGGAAGCCCCCTTGCCCCTGACCCTGTGCTCTTTCCTCTCCTTCTGTGAGCCCCACTGTTATCTCACAGCCCTTATCACCCTCCCTCTTTATACAAAGACAGTGAGGGCTCAGAGAGGTTAAGGAACCGGCCCAAAGATGTACTCTGAAAACACTTGTGCTCATTTTGCTGATTTGGGCGTGGCACTTTGTATCATTCAATCCGGTCCCTGGGTGAGAAATCTTTTACAGGAAAATGCTGAAATATTTTTGGAGCCAAAGATACAATGTTTAAAAGTAATCTGGAGGGAGGGGGAAGTGTGGGAAGGGAGAGAAGAAGTGAATCTGGCAAAATGTTAATTGTTGAGGCTGGGTGATGCATATGTGGGGGTTCAGGGTTGTTCTTCTCTGTGTTTGTGTATGCTTGAAACATCCCACAATAAGAACTCTGTACCCATTGAAGTAAAAGCCCTGTACACCTGAATTCTGGAAATAATTCGTTCCCCATCACAGCTCACACTGACCAAGTGCTGAGGTAAGAACACACGTGACTGCCGGGACTCTTTGCTACAAAGTTGTCTGATGGTGAGGATTATCCTGTTTTGCTGAGGAGGAGACATAAGCTCAGAGAGGGGAAGCGCCTTGCCTAAGGTCACACAGCTCTGGTTTCTGAGCCGGGGTCTGAGTGGGCTCAGGTGCTCTGACCTGGACCCCATGCTCTGAGTCCTACAGTGGCCCTGCCTGATCAGACTGGTCACCAGCTCCTTTCCAGGCTGAGCCCTTGTGCTCTGTGCTGGGAGGGGAGCAGCCCATGGTCCACCTCTAGGTGGGGTCCACCCCACCTTCGGGGGGAAGGGAGGCAGCACCCAGAGGACATGCCCTTTGGAGTGGGTGCTTTCTGGGCAAGGACAACTTGGGGATCTCAAAGACACAAGGGAGCACCCTCATTTCGGCCCACACCACTCAGAACACCTAACTGGATCCCAAGGTAAGGAATGAGAATGCCTCAGGTGAATTACATCTGCTCCAAAAGCCCACACCTGGGGGATGGCAGCTCTCAACAGTCATTCCTAGGCCTCACTCATTTCTCATCCATGGGGCGGTGAGAAAAGACTTCCCAGCACGGCCCTGGTGGTAGGCCTGACAGCTTCTCAGGAGGTTGGCGAGGAGGCTCGGTTTCCCTCAGAAACCAGCCCAGGACTTACACCATCCCCACCACTGCAGCTGGAAGGACAGGAAATGGTTTTGCCAATGGCAGAGGCAGGCCTGACAAGGGGGGATGATTCTGTCTTGTCAGTGGTTCGGATCTCATTCTGCTGGAGACCTCCTGGCGAGAAGGTGCTGAAGCAGGAGACTGGGCTCTCCTCCCCCTGAGAACCCAACTCCACTCCATCCAACCATCCATGCGTCCACCCCTCTGCTATTGCCCATCTCCCCTTTTATACAGCCCCCCACCTTCAGATGCATCAATTCACTCATCTGTCCTTCCTTTTTCTTCCTAATGTTTGCCACTCACTCATCCACCTACCTATCCATCACTCCACCCACCCATCCACCCACTCGTCCATTCATCCACTCATCCATCCATCCATCCATCCATTCTTCTATCTACTCATCGATCCATCCCTCCTTAGTCATCCATCCATCCTTATTCACCCATCCTCTCAACCACCCACCCATCCACCCACTTATCCATCCATCCATCCATCCATCCATCCATCCATCCATCCATCCATCCTTCTATTCGTCTATCCATCCCTCCTTAGTCACTCATCCATCCTTATTCATCCATCCACCTATCCATCCACCTATCCATCCTTATTCACCCATCCTCTCAACCACCCACCCATCTACCCACTCATCTATCCATCCATTCATCCACCCATCCATTCTTATACCCAACCACTCACCCACCCATCCAACCATCCACATTCATCCATCCACCTACCCACCTTCTAATCCTCCCGTATGTCCATTTACCCACCGCCCCACCTACCCATCAATCTTTCCACAACCACTCACACCAAAAATCCATCTGCCTATCAGAATACTAAACATCTATTATCCCCCCTCCACCCTTCCATCAAGGTAGCCAACTCTCTATCTATCTGGTCAGCCAGCATCTCCCTCCCTGCTTCTACCCACCCCTCCTGATTCATGCAATTATAGAGCCTTCTCTGACCCCATTTCCTGCTGCATCCTAAGCCAAGAGTCAGGATCCCCAGGTGGATTAGGAGATGCAGAGGAGGAGGAAGAGGAGCAGGAAGAGATGACCCTCATCTCACCAAGCCCTCAGAGTGGCTAAGTCACTTGTCTGCATGTGACGTGGCCCACAGGCAAGGTCTCCCTCCCCGCTTTATGGATCCCTGTTGCCATCTGCCTTCACAGTTTTCCTTTGTTTCACAAGCACTGGACTCTGCCATGTCCAGACCCACTTTGAGGCCCACAACTAGCTTACAGGTTGCCACATTCAGCCTCCTACCAGGGAAACTGATCTGCATTCCCCGCAATGCTCTCTCCTAGGGGAAGGAGCATCAGTGCCGGCCACAGAATCACCCTGGAGATTCCAATAAACCTGTCCCTTCTAAGTGTACCAGGAGACCTCCCTTCCCTCTGTGGGGTCCTTCTCTGTATTCTGACCCTGGTCCTGAGAGGTGGGGATCTGTTCTCCTTTTACCTAGAAGCGCCTTCCCCAGAGTAATGCAGCTGGGAGAACGGGGCAGGGAGTGGGGTACCTGATGCCCACCCCACTGGCTGCCTTCCAAGTCACAAGGGCTGCCTTTATTTTGCGATGTGGTTTTAGCCACAGTGGAGGATGGGAGAGAGGGGTATGAGGGGAGGGAGTGGCTGTTTCCTTTTCTGCCCTAACCAGGGCCCTCCAGGCCAGCCCGAGGGGTCACTGACCAAGGGCCCTGTTGCAAGAGCCCGAGTGGATCCTTCCTTGGCCTGGCATCTGATGCCATGCATGAGCGCAGGGCAGGAGAGGGGTCAAGAGACCAGACCTGGAGCCACAGGCCTGGTTTCCCTGCCTGCTCGGCAGGGCCTGACTTCCCGATGGGGCGGAAAGGCGCTGATCTCAGAGGGGCTGCGGGTACACACCAGGGCCGTGAGGTTGGCCCCAGGAACAGGCTCCGGTCCCGGGCGCAGGGGCGCAGACAGGGCGCACCCCTTGCACTAGGCTTGCCTACCTCGTCACAGGGGGCAATGCGGCCCATCACGTCCTTCAGGTGCCCGATGGTCGACTCCTCCTGGAAGTCCCGCGGGAACGTCTCCGTCCATTCGGCCAACAGCTGGAGCAGTTTGGGGCCGAACTTCCGGACCCGGGCCTGCAAGGGAAGCCGCGGCGCGTCCACACCCGGTGAAGGGTGCCTAGAGGCGCCGCCCCATCAGCCCCTGCGTCAGCCACGCACTGCACACGCCCCGCTGGGGTCGGGCTATCCCGGCAGCGCCCCTGGTGGCCAAAGGTGGTATGCCTGGTGCCTTCTCTGTGTCAGGTCAAAGGGAGGCCACCCAGGGATGGGGGCTTGACCACAGGGGAACAAAGGGGAACGGACGCACATTTGGGGCAGGACCCTCTGTTGTTTTTGCCTGCTGGGCATCCCGTCTCCCTCTCTGTGGTGATAACATCTCAGTTTGCTTTGGGGGTTTCTGTCCCCCTCATTCCCAGCCCTTGGGGTTCAGGGGTCAGCTTACTGCGACTCAGCCCCCCTGGCAGGGGTCCAGATCAGTGCTGGCCAATAAGTACATGGTACACCCCCCATCTTGCACAGTGACTGGCTCACGGATGGGCATGTTGCCCAAACTAAACCTCTGAGCTCGGGACTTTCCTTGGGACCTATTTAGAACATGGCTTGCTGTTTCCACTGGAATTGGGAAGAGTAGATGGTGAGCCTGGAGTGGCAGAGGCCACCTGTCACCGGTTAGGGAGAACCTGCCGAAGTGAGGGTGAGGCTGGCCTCGAGGAAAACGGAGCAGAGGGCCGGAGGGAGAAAGACCCTATTTCCTTGGGGTTCGTTTGAGCCTCCGGAGCCAGTGGTACTTGGTGACTTTGCAGTTCTGTGAGCCAAGGAAAGTCCCTTTGTCTTAGGCCAGTTGTAGTTGGGCTTCTATTTCTGTAACAATGGGGCCTGATGGACATACCTGTAAAGAGTCACAGCCTGTGGGATCTTGCCGGGACAGAGGAAGGCTAGGCTATCAGCGCACCTCACAGAGGAAGGGATGGTGGAATGGAGTTTGCTGAGAGCAGATGGCGCAGGGCCATCCCAGATGGCAAGGGTCCTACTGATGCGGCTCTGGGGTCCCGGGTGCCTTGAGCTCAGGGGCTCCCACAGGGCAGTGGAAACGGCACCTGGTTAGAGGTTCCAACTCCGTCCCTTCTAGCTCTGAGCCCCAGACAAGTCAGAAACCCCTGCGGGCTCCTGCCCAGGAGAATGGGGACCATTACCGCCACTCCAAGAGGTAGATGCATAAGGACGCGTCAGGGGAGTGTCTGTACACAAGAGGGCCCCTGTCCTGCCCCTCACCTTGTCCAGCACTGGCTGGTCCAGCTGCTGCTGCTCAATACACAGGTGGCAGACCCGGGCCAGGAGCTCCCGGGGCTCGATGAAGAGGCGGGAGCTTAGAAGGAAGGTGAAGATGTAGGCTTTCTGAAAGGGACACAGAGAAAGGCAACATGTGCTCACAAGGGCATGGCAGGGCTGTGTCCTCTGGTCCAAGACCAGCCCCAGCCCTAGTGTCTCCCCCATGCGTGGTAGAAGGGAGCCCGCTCTGATGGCCCTCCTCCCTGCTGGATGGGTAACCCACCTCGGGGTAGTAGTCGGTCGTGGGCACCAGGTGCTGGATCAGGGTGTCTAGGGAGGCTGACGAGGGAGCCCCATCCAGGAGGGGCTGGCCGGTCTGCTCGCCATCTGTGAGCTCGGTGGGGGGTGGGCCAAGGCTGCCAGGGGTGACCATGTCGGAGGCGCTCAGGGTCCGGGGCATGCCTGTCTGCAGTAAAAGGAGTAGTTAGGCACACCCGGACTGGGGCCCCGCTGGTCCTCTGGGCTCCTGGCTGGGTGGGTTCTGCCTCCTCCAGGAGCTTTGGTGCCCATCGAAGCCCAGTGACCAATCACTTCTGGGGGGTGGGGGCTGGGGGATTCCTACCCCCAGCAGGGCATCTTTCAGCAACCAACCCTCCTCCACTCTTGGTCCAAGCCACTTAGGGACTGACTCTTTCCGCTCCTACCCCCAGGGAAAATTGTTTTGGGCATGGCTTAGACAATTCACAGACTGTCCCAGCTCGTGGCCACATAGACGATTAGTTCAAGGGTGGGCCTGGTCCAAGTTGGAGGGCTCAGGCGCGATCCCAGAACATCCGCGGCACTCCGAAGCTCTCTCCCTCGCTGGGGTCCCTAAGCCCGGCTCACTCACTGCTGCACCCCAGGGTCCGGCCCCCGCCTGGAACATACAGAGTGGGTGCTCGGTCAAGGTGCGGGTGTTCAAGTGACTCAGCGGGGCAGGTGACAACAGAGGAGCCCAAGATGACACCGCTGTAGGGCGATGGGGCCAAGGGGCAGGCCTTCCCGTGGGAAAAGCCCTGGGGGCCTGGCCCCGCACGCTCACCCCTCATCTCAGCCCATAGCCCTCCCATCCTTCAGATGAGGTAGAGGAAGGCTCACAGAGAAAGGCAGGTGCCCAGCTCGCGCGCTGAGTACCTGGCCGAGCTGGGTCTTGAGGAGAGGTGTGTCTGAGGACAGGCCCCGTTTGTGTTTGAGGACAGGCCCCGTTCCTGTCTACCAGCCCAGCTGGGCCCTAATGTTGGAATCCCCAGAGCACAGACTCCAGGGCACATGGGCAGACTCCGGAAGTGTGACCAGCGGTGCCCAGGGCCTGAGGAGAGAAGCATGTGCTGGCTGGCGATGGGGGTCAACTCGGCCCCTCCTGGGACAAGCCAGCCCTCCCACACATTGTGTTTGGCCCGTGGACACCATCCCCGGGTGCCGACTCTCCTTCCTAGCTCAGATCCTGGCTCCGGACCCAAGTCCCTCCCCCTGGTGCCTCCATCTGTTGGGTCTGCCTCCTGGCATCCATTTCCTTTCCTCGCAGCCAGAACACCAAGCTTTGCAGGTGTTCCCCCAATAACCACGCCTTCCGATGAATACTAACCACGGTGCTGAGAGGTCAGGAAGGCTCCGCCCACACCTGGCCAAGGGGTGGGCACGAGGCCAGGCCGGTCCAATCAGACACTGCCACCCTGAAATACGCAGCTGAAGGGGGCGTGGCCTGAAGAGGCAGGCCTGGGAGGGCTTGGCTTCTGAGTCACAGCTGCCCCTCACCCCAGGCATAAGTTTCTGCCTCAGTTTCCCTGCTCACATCCCCTGCTCCCGCTGACCACCCTCCACCCCTGAGGCGCACCAGTCAGTCTCCTTGCGTTTGGGTCTCCAGGCCCAGCATCTGGAGGTCCTGGGGCTCCCGCCACAGTTAGCAGTAACGAGGGGGCCAGTCTGCATCGCATCTGCATTGGAGGCATGCGCCACCCCCACCCCGTGGGGGTGCCACCCTGCAGGTGGGCACCCTTCCTTCTGGGGATTCGTGCTGTCAGACCCAGAGTCCACCTGCTGTCGGAGTCTAGTACTGGACAACTTCTTGGGACTATGTGGCCTAAGTCTAACTCCTGTATGGGACACAAGGGGAAATGTCTGCAGGGACAAGTGTCGGACCAGGTGGAATTACAGGGAAGGTACAGACCTAGAGGATAACCTTTCTCTCATTCCCCAACGTTTGACAGAGAGGTGTGTACCCCAAATATCTAACTTTCCTCTTTACTGGACAACACAAAACCACCTGGCAAGAGGCTGGCAAGGGCCCTGTGGTTCCCCCAGGATGAGGTCCGTCAGAGAGAGGCCAGAGCTGTGGCCACAAAACAGCATAGCTCCACTGGACTCCTGGGGGTGCTGACCACATGCTCAGACCTTCCACATTTAAGGAATGCCAGGATTCCTGACTTGTATGCTTGGTATCCTGATTTTATTTATTTATTATTTTCTTTTTCTTAGAGCGGGGAGCAGAGGGAAAGGGAGAGAGAGAATCTCAAGCAGGCTCCACACGCAGGACCCTGATGTGGGGCTCAGTCTCACAACCCTGAGATCGTGACCTGAGCCGAAATCAAGAGTCAGATGTTCAACAGACTGAGCCACCCAGGTGCCCCAAGGACCCTGATTTTATTTATTTATTTTAATATTTTATTTATTTATTTATTTGAGACAGAGAAAGAGATCACAAGTAGGCAGAGAGGCAGGCAGAGAGAGAGGGGGAAGCAGGCTCCCTGCTGAGCAGAAAGCCCGATGCGGTGCTTGATCCCAGGACCCTGAGACCAGGACCTGAGCCGAAGGCAGAGGCTTAACCTACTGAGCCACCCAGGCACCCCCCTGATTTTAAAGATGGCAATTTAACTTAGTAAAAAGAAAAAAAGCCACCATGGGGGCCACAGCATGGGACAAGAGCATATTTAGAAACAACATCTCTAGCTCCCAGGTGGCCAATCTCCAACCCCCGCGCTGCTGTCATAGTCCCCAGTAGTGCTGGTTGGCATTCTAAAAACCTGCAAAGAACAGAAAGCCATATAGAACCAATGAAGAAAAGCACCTGGCTGGTCAGCAAAGCATGTCCTGGGTGCTGGAGAGGAGATGGGCTCCCGGGCATCCATGCCCAGCTGGGCGCTGGACCAGGCCTGGCCGAAGGGAGAGAGTCAGAGGATGACCCTTTGTTGTGTGAAGAGTCTCCTGGGCTTTTCAAGTGCCTTCACGTGCTGAGAATGGGAAGAAGAACCCCTCCTCTTCTGTTTCTGGAGAGGAGCCCCGAGATGAAGTGCACAAAGCACCCAGCACAGTGCCTGCCATGGAGAAGAAGGGGCCACCAAGACCACTGAGCTCTCCCCAAGGGCCTATACTACCAGCAGGGTCTGGAACCATGACACACATCATCATTCCCACTGCTAATGGCGCTCCGGGCCAAAAAGACTTGTCCCCTGGGGTCCCTCGATTTACCCTGGTTTGCAAGCTGGCTGTGGCCTGGACAGCCCTCTACTGTGAACTTCCAGCCCCGGGGTGGGAGCTCCCGAGAGCAGCTATCACTGGGTGCCAATTTAGCCTTGCAGGCTAACATAAGCCCACAACGCCCGGTCGGAGCCTTCCGCCCTCGCCTGAGCAGGTAGCAGAATTTTACACATTTATACATTCTCATCCCATCACCCCTCCCCCATTACCTCCTTTTTAAAAATTCTGGGAAATGATGCTTAATGTGAAATTTACCATTGTAACCATTTCAAGGGTATACTTTCAGTGGCACCAAGCACGCTCCCATGGTTGTGCAAATGTCACCACTCCCCATCTCCAGAAACTTTTCATCTTCTCCAACTCAAACCCCACATCCATTCAGCAATCACGCCTCGTCCTCCCCTCCCCTCACCCTGGCAAGCCCGTTCCACTTCCTGTCTCTAGGAATGTGACTGTTCTAGGCACCTGTATGAGCAGAACCAAAGGGTGTTTGTCCTTTTGTGACTGGCTTATTTCACTTCACATCATATCCTCAAGGTTCACACATGCTGTAGCGTGGGTCAGAATGTCCTTCCCTTTTTTTTTTTTTTAAAAAGACTGCGTCATATAGCCCATATATACATATACATGTACATATATATATGGACAAACTCACATACCCCCATGTTTTCTCTATCCCTTCATCTGCCAGTGGGAATTTGAGTAGTTTCAGCCTTTGTCATACCCTTGTCCACACTAGCTGCGCTCTCACTACTTCTCACTCCTACTGGCAATGGAAAAGGGTTCCAATTGCTCTACACCCATGCCAACGCCGTTTTGTTTTTTTGTTTTCGTTTTTTTTTTTTGTATTTTTGATAGCAGCCATCCATCAGGGTATGAGGGGACATCTCATTGTGAACCTCGATTCTGATTTTGTATTTTGCTCGTGACTGGGGTTGGTGGGCATCTTCTCGTGCTCTTTGGCCACTTGTACATATAACCTTCAGAGAACTGTCTATGCAAACCCTTGGTTCACTGTTGAACTGACTGAGATCACGAAGCTTTGTTGTCCTCCAGAAATTTTATAGTGTGTGGCCTTACTTTTAGGTCTTTAATCTGTTTCGGTTGAATTTTTGTCTATGCGGTGTTAGGTAAGGGTCCAACTTCACTATCTTACCTGTGGATCTCCAGTTTTCCCAGCACCATTTGTTAAAAAGATCGTCCTTTTTCCACTGAATGGTCTTGGCACTCTTGTTGAAAAATCATTTGACTCAATAACAGGGATTTGTTTCTGGGCTCTCTATTCCATTCCATTGGCCCATATCCCTGTCTTTATGCCAGGACCACACTGTTTTGATTACCGTAGCTCTGTCGAAAACCAGGAAGTGCAGTCCCTCCAACTTTGTTCTTTTCCAAGATTGCTGTGGCTGTTCAGAGTCCTTTTGAAATGCCGTATGAATTTCAGGATGGATGCTTCTATTTCTGCAAAAATACCATCGGAATTTTGGTAGAGATTGCATGAAATTTGTAGATTGCTTTGGATAATATTGACATCTTAACAATATCAAGCCTTCCAACCCATGAATACAGGGTGTCTTTACATTTATTTGCGTCTTTCCTCATTTCTCATTGCTCTCATTTCAATGTTTTATACTTTTCACCGTGTAAGTCTTTCATTTCCTGGGCTGAGTTGATTCCTAACTACAAGCTCCTAAGTCTATTCTTTGTGATTCTTTTGTAAGGGGAATTGCTTTCTTAATTTCCTTTTTTGATTGTTCATTGTTAGTGTGCAGAAACACAACTGTTTTTTACGGTGTTGATTCTGTATCCTGCTATTTTGCTGAATAAATGTTAATTAGTTCAATAGGGATGTGTGTGTATGTGCGTGTGTGTGTGAGACAGTGTTTGCATTTAGGGTTTTCTACATGTAAGATCATATCATGTGCAAAGAACTAATTTTACTCCCACCTTTATGATTTGAGTGGCTTTATTTATTTATTCTTGTGCTAGAACTTCTTGTACTTTGTTGCATAGCAGTAGCAAAAGTGGACATCCTTGTGTTGTTCCCGAGCTTAGTGGAAAAGCCTTCAGTCTTTCATCACCAAGGATGATGTTATTTGAGAATGTCTTAATTTCTCCCTCATTCTTGACGTACAGTTTTGCTGCATATAGGGTTCTTGGTTGACAATTTTTTACTTTTGACACTTTTGATTATATTAACCCATTGCCTTCTGGCCTCAAGGTTTCTGATAAGAAATCTGCTGATAATATTATTGAGGATTCCTTACATGTGACAAGTCACTTTTCTCTTGCTGCTTTCAAGTTTCTGTCTTTCAACAGTTTGATTGTAATATGTTTCAGTGTGGGTTTCTTTGAGTTTATCCTACTTGCAGTTTGTTGACCTTTTTGTATGTTTATATTCATGTCTTTTAGCAACTTTGAGAAGTTTTCAACTATTATTTCTTCAAAAACCTCTCTGCCCCTTCTCTCTGTTCTCTTTCTGGGACTCTCACAACATGTATGTTGGTCTGCTTAATGGTGTCCCACACATCCCTTACGTTCTGCTAATTTTTTTTTCAATAATTTTCCCCCGTCCCTCAGAATCAATCATTTCAATTGACTTATCTTCAAGTTCACTGATTTTTCTGTCTGCTCAAATCGGCTTTTGGAAACTTCTAGTGAATTTCTCATTTCAGGTATTGTATTTTTCTGCTCTAAAAATTTCTTTTGGGTTCTTTTTAAATGTTTTTTTAATCTCTTTATTGATATTTCTATTTTGCTCATACTTAGTTTTCTTGACTATCCATCTTTAACTTTAGCTCTCTGAATGAGACAGTTGTCTTAAAGTCTTTGCCTAATCAGTTCATCATCTCCTCTTTCTTAGGGATGGCTTCTCTGATTAATTTTCCCCACCCCCTTTACAGTCCTTTCCTTTCTCTTTCTTTGCAGGTCTTGTGATCTGTTGTTGCTTTTGTGGAAAATGGAATGTTTGAATCTTATAATGTGGTAACTCTAGAAATCAGATTTCTGCAGGTCTTTCTTTCTTTCTGTCTGTCTGTCTTTCTTTCTTTCTTTCTTTCCAATTGTTGTAGGGTGCTTCTATGCCAGGATCAGACTGAGGTCCTTTGAGTCTTCTCTGAGCCTATACCTTTCTCTGGGCATGTGTAGTAACTTTCTAACTTCCTTTGTATACGTGGTTGCTTTTGAATATCCTAATCCTTAAATGTCTTGCCCCCAAAAGAGGAAAAAGGGAAGAATGAAGGGGTGTGTGGGGGGGAGTAGTAATAGGCTCTGACTTTTTAAATCCCCCAGAATCCTCTTCAGCCAGTATAGATTGCAACAATGGTGGCCTGCCTCTCTATCTGCACCTCTGTGACCAGAAACAGCAACAAGCAATAAGAACACACATTCCCCAGTATTTGTAGGACGAGGTGCTTATTGCCCACCATGGCTCCCACAGCTGTGGGTAAGCTACTCCAGGAACACATGCATGGCTGCTGCCTAGAGGCTTGGGTTGGAAGACGGGTAGCTGCTACTGTGTTAAGAGCTTAAACTGACTAAAATGAACTGAAACTTTCCAAGCCTTCCTTTGAAGCTGAAAGTCTTTGAATAGGCTCAGAGTTCTAACATAGTTACATCAGGTGGACTCTGCCAGTTCAGCCGCCTAGCTGGTGATGGAGTCTTGGTGCTTCCTGCTTCATTGTCTTTGCTGATACCCTCCTATTCCCATTGTATATTTAACTGGACACTGCTATTGGATTTTTAGATCTCATTAGTTCTGACAGTCTTGTTTTTCCAGAAGACAATTTAGTCTACAATTAATAGTGATTTAATCTCTTCCTTTCTGGTGGTTAAACCTCACACACTTTTCTTGTCATAATGCATTGGACAGAACTTTCCAGGACAAACAAAGAGTATAATGCTGGTGAGAATAAGCATCTTACATTGTTTCATCTTTCTATCAGGGCCAGGTGTGCTGTGGGGGTTGAGCCGAGAGCCGTTCTAGGGTGATGTTTCTAGTCCCACTGCAGTGTTTTGGGAGGAGTTGGAGTCACACAGCTCCTAGGTCTGTGTGTGTGTGTCCTGAAAACCCCAGGTCTTTTCCTTTCCCCGTTATGAGAATGAGTGCCTACTCCAGTCCTGCTGGTTCTCCTCAGAGCCCATGTTTCAGCCTTGTCCAGTTTTGCTTTTATCTGTGCAGAGCCTGCAGAAGCTCTGAGAAGAAGGCTGAATTATAGGTTTCCTTACAGGGTCTGTACCAGACTTACTCCCCAGGTAGGGGGCGGGAGTGTCAGCCACATCGGGGCATCATTAAAAGAGACAAATAGGCATCTTTGCTTGAGACTGCTTCTGCAGGAACAGGGACAGTTCCTATACCCTTGGGGGGTGGTGGGAGCTGAACTCAGGGAAAGGTCTTGGATGAAATGCCTGTGCCACCTGACCCAGGCAGTTTCCATGCCCCTGAGGTTTCAGCTCAAGAGCAAACATGTGTCTTGCTTTATGTGTCTCACATAAAGCACTCACATGTCACTGAATCCTTAACACAACCATATGGGAATGATTGCCCACTCCACAAATGAGAAAGCCTGCACCCTAAAAGATAAAGTGATGTGTGCAAGTTCACAGCTGGTGATTAGTACCCCAGATCCTTGGGCTCCTGACACCAGGCCCAGCTCCTGGCCCTGGACTTGGCCCTGGCCCTGGCCCTGGGAGGGGAAACTGGCAAAGGCTGAGTGGGAGATAGATGTGGTCTGAAGATCCAGCCAGGGACCTGGGCTCAGGAACCAGGGGCTTGGGGAGGGCTACCTGAATACCAGGAACCCCGACATGGCCTGGCTTTCAGGAGGCAGGGAGCCCGCTGAGCAGCCCCTAATGGACTCAGCTGAAAAGGAGACCTTAGCCTATAGGCAAGGTCTTCTCAACTCTCCCAGGCCACCCTGGGTAGGGCCCTAGATCATGCCAACTTTTGTCCTGCTGCTCTGAGCAGTGACAGTACCTTGTCCAGGGCCCCAAAATGCTGTGGTCCTCCACTTCTCCCTCCTTGACAAAGCCTGGGGCTGAAACACTCCTCTCATTCCAATTCAGGTCCTGTGAAGGGCTCCTCTCTGTTCCCTAGTGTCTGAAAAGATGCTCCCAAGGCACTTGGGCCTCCTCCAGGCCTGAGCCCAGGGGTTCTGCTTGCCTGGGCTGGGAATACACCCGGCCTTTCCTTTAGGAGGCCACCTGACAGACTTGGCCTGACAGAGAGAGGAAAGGACTGGCTGGCCTGAGTTATTTTTATGCGCCATAAGGCCCTCAGCTCTTGCTGACAGAGCCTGCTTCTTTTAGATCTCAGGAAGCTCCAGTTTCTGAGAGCTCAGGGCCCAGCTCACAGCCAGTCTGCCAAGTGCAGGTTGATGGCACCAAGGCCAACCCCAGCCCGGTAACTGAAAATAGAGCTTTTCAAAGAGGAAAATATCGGGCTCCCTTCTGCTCCATAACCCTATGGTCCCTCACTCTTGGTCTCCACCCTTAATTATTCCCTGAGGACATGCTTCTCTAAGGAGAGGCATTGGGCTGATGGATGCCAGTCTTTTCAAGGAATCAAAATATATCACCCAGTTGCTCACCTGAACCACAGGGAAGGGGTTTTGTTTTAGGCTCCCAACCATCATACTTCCTGACTTCCTGGAACCCCTTCTCCCCACTGGCTGGAACCCTGATTAGAGTGGGGGTGGGGGCTAACTGGGTCCTGGCCAGTGACAGTGCAGCACCCCATCCTCCTGCCCCTGACCAGGGACCCAGGTTATCCAATCAGAGTAAATCCCGAACCTTGTTGGGAGATCACCCCAGAGAAACGTTCCCTTGATACTTTTTCCTCTCTACACTTTTAGAAGAATTAAACACAAAAGAGTCTATAAACACATCTGCAATTTAAATAATAATAACTTTTTATTATTATAACTAAATGAACATCTGTGAACTGATACCCAGGCTAACATAAAAAGTATTATCAGTACCCTAAAAGCACTCTCAGTACCTTATACACTTTCCCAAATCAAGCTGACTTCTCAACCCTCAGCTCTAGGTGGTGACCATCCTTTTGTGCTAATTATCTCCTTGCTTTTCATTATAGTTCCACCTGTGTATCTATCCCAGATAATACACCACCTAGTCTTGAAAAACAGAGGGCAGACACACTGGACGGAGGTTCCAGGAGGAGGTA